CGATGGGTTGGACCTTTAAGCTGGACATGTAACACTCTCTTGCCGTCTTCTGGTCGGCGTGAACGGTTATTACCTGTCCGTCTCTTGATGGGAACTTCATGCACAGGTGAGGAGTCGACACAATGGCCTGTAGTGCGTTGATGGAGGGTCGGCCGAGCAAGATATTGTACGACGTGCTTGCATGCACGACGATGTAACAAACTTTTATCTCTCGGAAAAATTGTTTGTCGCAACCGAAGCGAGTGTACAAGTCGATGCATCCTCTCGTCATGACTCTTTCGCCTGAGAATCCTACCAGTGGTTCGTGATACGGTTCTAGGCTCTCCTCAGGGATCCCCAGTTGTACAAAAGTGTTTCAGTACAAGATGTCGGCGGAGCTCCCTTGGTCAACCAAAGTTTTCTTCATGATGCAATTGTGTATCTCAACGGAAATCACCATGGGGTCGTCCTGGACGGGGTCGACGCCGCGAAAGTCCCGGTCCGAGAAAGTAATAGGCGGCATCTTCGGCGTTCTCATCTGATTCACGTTGTTCACCGATCATACTGCTCGGAGATGTCTTTTCCGGGCGGAGGATGTGAAACCTCCTCCGGCAAAGCCCCCGGCTATTGTGTTTATTATCTTTCTCGGCCGGTCATTGTCTTCTCGGGAACTTCTCGAGTGGTCTTTCCTTTCTGTTGAACGAGATCGGTGGCCTCGATCTCTCGACGGTGACGCTCGTCGAGGATAGTGGTCTCTCCCCCTTGACCGGTGGTCTTGGGGTGAGACAATGTTCTGGAGATGACCTTGCTTGATAAGGTCTTCAAGTTTATCCTTTAGTGCCGAGCATTCTTCTGTTGTGTGTCCCCTGTTTCAGTGGAATCGGCACGTTTTTGCCTTGTCGGCTCTCGGGGGCGTGTTTGCCCTTTTCAGCATCACCAAGATTTTTGATGCGAGGGCTTGCTCCAACACCTTAGCCCTACTCGTGTTGAGGGGAGTGTACGTCGTGTATCGTGGTCCCCTCGGTGGTCGGGCGTTTGAAGGTTCGGCATTAGCCTTTTTCATCAGTTCTCGGCTCGGCTCCTTCCTGCTATTACCCTCCTCGGCTCTAGCCTGGTTTCGGGTTTCTGCAAGCTCCTCCATCTGCATATACTTCTCGGCTCGGCGACGCAAATCATTCATATCGAGTGGTGTTTTTTTATAGAGGCTATTTACGAAAGGCCCCGGTTTCAGGGCAGTGCTCAACCTGTTTAGGGCGACGGCCGGGTTAAGATCGCCTATCTCCATGGCAATCTTGTTGAATCGTCCATAAAGCATCTTATACTTTCCTTTTTCTCCTGATGAACCCCCGCTAGAGCCAACGAGGTCGTCCTATATGGCTTGCTCGTCGCGAATTGCAAAGTGAACTGGGATGACAACTCGCCAAACGAGTCGATGGAAGAACTCGACAACCTGGTGAACCAACTCAGGGCCCTCCCCTTCAGTGATGTGGGGAATATTCAACACAAAGCCGATTCGTCTTGCGTGGAGAGGGTGGTCTGCGTCAAGAAAACGTTCAGGTGTTCGTCGGGATCAGTGGTCCCGTCGTATTTCTCAATTGGGAGATTCTTCCAATGATCCAAAAGAGTCGCTTCCATTATCCTCCATGAGAAAGGGTGTCTTAAGGAGTGGACGGTGGTGTCGGCCTTGTTGGCTATCAACGAGGTGACCGGAGTTCGAGTGACCTGGTCGGTTGGGGCGTGATAGGCGGACTCTTCCGCTGCTGTGGGGGTGGACGACACGAAAGTTTGGTTCAGATTCTGAAGCTCGGCATTTTGTCGACGTAACTCGGCTAGCTCTCGGGCGTCGGCTTCTCTTTGCCTTCGGATGGTCTCCATTTCTTCCCTCAACGCACGGAGGTCATCATGCAAATTGGGTTGAGTTCGGTCAGTGTTCGGCTGGACCTGTTGAATCACGGGTTCCGGTTGAGTTTGAGGCATTCCGTACGGGTAGCGCTCTTGGTTGGTCATGACGAGATTGTCTTCGGCGTTAACGTTGGGAATCGGTTGGGTCGTTGTTGATTGTCCTTTGCGGGTCACTACCATGTCTCGATCTCAGTTGGTAGAGTTGAAATGGGGCTAAAGTATCTCTCGGCCCCGCGGTGGGCGCCAAATGTTCCTGTGTTAGGATACACACTTCAATTATCTTGTCACGGGTCGGGTCTCGGTCTTCTTGTTCCTGTCCGGGTAATCCGAAGCGAGGTGGGGTGTGCCTGCAAAGACACTCTGACGCTCAAGTTAGTTCTCGGCGTAATAAATGCGGTAGTCCAGAATTAGTTACATACCTCGTTAGAACTCTATTTATAGGTACTCGTATTGGGCCGTGATTAAGGATTGAGCCCCAGAAAATTAGGGAGCTAATCCGATGTGTTATGTTAATTAATCTCTCCATAATTAGCCTGACAGAAGTGCTGGGCTTGGCCGACCACACCGATGAGTTTTATCCGTTCACGTGTGGTCGGCGGACTCGGGTATTCGAACTAGATGTGTTACAGTGCGGGTGGTCGGCCTGATTACTCACGGGTTCGGATTGTTCGACCCGTTTTTTTGCGTTCGGGTGTTCGACCCAGTCGACCTCAGTATTTCCATATAAGTAAAAAATACAAAATAAAAAATAAAAGTATATATATATATATATATATATATATATAAGTTGGTGAATATTTGTAATATTAACTTTACTCTCTTATAAGTAAAACTTTTAAGATTTGAAATTAAATATTTATTTAGAAACTTATTATTAGTAATTATATATTAAATATTAAATATTACACACATATATTATACATACTAATTATTAATCTCATTATCATGAGATATTGTATAAATATTTATCTATCAAGTTTAAACTTTATTTTGATCTAATAATACATAAAGAAACTAAAACATAATGATATTAAAAATTAAACTAACTAAAAATTAAAATACAACAACTCTGATGGAATAACTACACTATTACAATTTAGAATTTTAAGTTAAGAATTTATATAATAATATAAAATATTTTTTTACAATTAATTATATATAAATAAATGTGAGACAACGGATAAATACTATAATACTTATATCACATCTACATCTCCATTGAATTTTACAGGTAAATTCCAACCCTATCCCCATCTCCATTAATGTGATATTTTATCTTTTCCATTGAAAATATTTTTTGCAAATTTTTATAAGACTCAAACACATTTTTCCGTCCCTAAGTAAAATGCAAAACTCACAAAAATTTATAATATTCAATAAATTTAAATTGATATTAAAGTGTTAAAAAGAAAATGTTACAGAAATTCTATTGCTAATACTTGTGCATTTGTATCACATTATATTAATTTATTATTGTTATATAGTTGGAATCTTTCTTTATCATTCACCACCATAGTGGCTAACTTTTCCAAGACAAACTCACCCGAGCGCAACCGAACAATTACTCTTCAAATGAGGAACATGCTTGTAACTTGATTATATAGTCCTTGTGCTTGGGGAGAAAAGAAGACAACTAGAGGCATATTCAGAATAAAGTGTGATTTTAAGGGCAGTGTTGAATTCAGATCAGCCGGTCACAACTCATAGATGGTATAAATACATTGCGTTATGTAACGAATAACCTAATTTACAAAGAATATAAAGCATAGGAAGCAAAATATGTTAGCAAAATGAGATTTACAGCAAAATAAATGCATTGGCAAGTGAGTCATCAAACTCAAACGTTCCAAGACCCAGATTTATTTTGTGAGAATTTAGTTGTTGAGTCATGATCTCTACTCCTCCAGCTACTCTGAGACTCATTGAAGAAAGATGAACTATCTTGCTCCCAAAAGCCATCCTTCTAAACATTCTGATTTGTGCAGATTGCTGTGCAGAATCGAAAGCCGAACTCTGCCCTGGTTTCATGCCATTGTTGAGATCCGTAAACTCATCTAAGGAATCTAAAGCTCTCACCACCTGGCAAGCAAGCATGCACAGTTAATAAGTATCTTCAAAATCACAACTAATATATATCTTCTGCACTGCATGGCATGGCATGGCATGCAACATGTCTAGTTCAAGAGAATAAAATTACCTGACTCATACGTGGCCTCTTCACCGAGGAGTGCCGTACACAGGCTGCAGCAGCTTCAATCATCCGAAACATTTCATTTCTATCATAGTTCTTTCCCAGTCTTGGATCCACCAAAATTTCAAAATCTTCATTGTCAAGTGCTTCCGTCAACAGAGGCCGGGCCTGGAAACAAGTTTGTTATAAATTAAAATGTGGAACTGCTTGCTAATCCATTCCATTCCCTTACTTTGTTTCTTTTTCATTATAATCTTCCTTCAGCATTAGAAATTTTGGTTAAAAAATATATACAGTATAGAATTCTATGCTGAATAGGAAAAGTGTGATGTTCCTTGATTCAAGCACTTAGGTGTTAAGTCTCAATTATACCACTTTCTGAATGAGATTTATTGAACAATTCTACTCATTCTTTGCACCATTGCAAGATAATTGTTCCATTTTTGATTCATCTTTTGTGCAGATATAGCTAACCCATATTTAGCTAACAATACCTTAATACACTTCATTTTTTGTGCAGGTATTGAGCTAGAGAGTTGAGGATTGAAGATCTTTGGGATTGGAAACTTAAGGAGCTTAGGAGCAGAGCAAAGTGTCTGCGTCGAGCGCAAGATGACCCCGCGCCGGGCTTGAGAAGAACAGAGTATTGCACCTCTGGCAATCACACATGTGCCGGGCGCGAGACTCCCCCACGCCGGGCGTAATCGAGGCAGAAAAACTCTCTGGAATGTATTGTGCCGGGCTTAATAGAGAATTGCGCCGGGCTTGCTCTAAGGCAGAGAATAGTTGAAAGCCTCTGGAAGACACTGCGCCGGGCGTAAAAGGAAATTGCGCCAGGCTTACACTGAGGCAGAGAGTGCTTAAAAGACTCTGCGTCGGGCGCGAAGACTTATGCGTCGGGCGCGAAATCCTAATCTGATCTTCCATGCTCGTATTTGAAGCCATTTTCGAGGGTTTCTCCCTCATTCACACATTGGACGAGTTTTAGGAGCTGTGGAAGGGATTCCCGGAGCTTGGAGCTGTTCGTGTGTAGGTCTTTCCTTCGGTTTCTTCATTTCTCCCTTCATCTCTATTTTGTTTTACCCTCATTTTGAGTGGTTCTACCCATTTTTTGTGGGGTTAGATGTAACCAACGAATTCTAGTGTAATCCTCACGTTTTCAATGATATATATATATATATATATATATATATATATGTTGTTCATTCATTGTTGTGTTGTTTCTATTCTTAATGCTTGCCTTGGATTGATTCTCCTTGCATGATATAAGTTCCATGGGTATTGGAAAATAACCTTTGAAACTAGCTCTGAAACAAATGCCTAGTGGGAAATGTATCTAGGAGTGGATCTTGACCCATTAGTAGTCTTAAACCCTAGCTCATAATGCAGGTGTAGGTATTGAGTACTCAAGGGATTGATATTCAATATCCGCACCTAGGCTCTTACTCTAAGGGATTAGGTTTGAGTAAACTATTGGGTTGACTAAGCAATGAATTTAATAAGAGATTAAGGATTCATTAGTTTAACGTTTGGTGAAATCTAACCCCCACAATCTTACAAAACCATAATACCATTTCTATCCTTTCCACTCACAAACAAATATTTTTATATTTTAATTTTCCAATAGTCAAGATCTTAATTCCACATTCACATGACAAACTACAAATTGGAATCATTCTTTAGTCACGAATAGTTAATAAATACTTATGTTACCTTCTAATCACCGTGGATACGATATTTTTACTACTTGAACGGCCGGTATACTTGCCGTGTTTGAGACCGTTGATAGAATTTAACTGATTTATAAATTAAAACAAAAGTGTTTTAACGGAATTCTCAACATTAGGTTATCTATCTTTGGATTGCTGTATTTGTTTTTCAATTCTCTGTTTCACTGATTGCAAAAATGTTATTTTGTTTCCATTTTGTTTCTTGTTTTGAGAAATTTTAGATGATCATAACAAGATTTTTTTTTTGTTTGACAATATCTGAACCTATGAAGCCATGTCAAATAATAAAGATAGGAACCCTTCTGTAAACTAAAAAACCTACGAACCTTCTTTTCTTCATGTATGTCATATAAATAATAAGTTTTAAATCATTTCAATGTTCCAGTTATCATTTCCAGGTTATCTCTAATCTCACTGCCAAAAGAAAACAAGGAAAAAGCCGTGGTGATCGGTTTGCTCAGTTTACATTTTCAATTCTCTGTTTTCACTGATAATTGTAAAAATGTTAGTTTTTATTTAGTTTCAGGTTTTCAGAATTTTTAAATGGTGAAAACAAGATTTTGTTGTTTTACAATACATGAAGGTACCCTTGAGTAAACTAAAAATCCTATAAATAATACTCAATAAGGAAAGCAATGTTGAGGGAAATACGTGACTCACCCATTCAACCAAGCTCTCATCACCGATTGGTTGAGATGCATCTACAGGCTTCCGACCTGTAATTAGCTCCAAAAGCACAACCCCAAAGGAATATACATCAGACTTTTCAGTCAGTTTCCCACTTGTTGCATATTCTGGTGCCATGTACCTGCCAATTCAAATCATCATTCCCTTTAGGTATACATGGAATAGGAACAGCTCATACTTGAGTATTATCAATATCCAAAATAGCTTCACAAGTCAAAAAAGGGCCTACAACAAGGCAGTGAAGGCACAACAGATCAAAGATCAATAGATAATTTCCATACAAGATACAATATATCTAAGATGTAACCTACCCAAAGGTTCCCATTACACGTGTAGTTACATGTGTATTTGAATCTAATGCCAATTTTGCAAGCCCAAAGTCCGAAACCTGATGACCAAATCATACCAAAAGAAACAACAATTGAAGTCACAATCAAAAAAATAATGGAAGATGCCAGATTGTCAGTGCATCAGAGGTACAGATTATAAAAGTAGCTTACTCGAGCTTCATAGTTAAGATCAAGCAAGATGTTTGATGACTTGATATCTCGATGAATAATGCGTGGATGGCCTGATAAATTAATTAAAAAGAAATAAGAAGATAAACAGTATAATATGCTATAAAATCCAAAAATGATAGTGTAAAAACATAGGTAATTGTGAATGTACAATCAACAATAATGCAACCTGAAGGGAGGAATGTTGTGCCCAAAGTGTGTGGGTATCCTCCAAAGTCCCACATTGGGTAGTTTTGAAGGGAGGAATGTTGTGCCCAAAGTGTGTGGGTATCCTCCAAAGTCCCACATCATGAAGTTTGAAGAAGGGAGTGGTAGACTACTACTATAAATAAGAGGTGATAGTTAGTGTCTACTCACCACAACAACATAGGTTCCAATGGGTGTATTGGGGACTTGGGTAGTTGTGTGTCATGAGAGGGTTTTCAAGTTTTTCCAGAAAACTTGTGTATGAAGGTTTCCAAGTTTTTCCAGAAAACTTGTGATGAGAGGGTTTGCAATTTTGTCCTTGTAAAAATTGTAAGTGGAGAGAAATAAAATGAGTTTGTTTTTGTTTCTCTATTCTTGTTGTGTATGCTTCCGCTGTCGCTGTTTGAAGGCTTCTTTTCCCAACAGAAGGTACCCTTGAGTAAACTAAAAATCCTATAAATAATACTTAATAAGGAAAGCAATGTTGAGGGAAATACGTGACTCACCCATTCAACCAGCTTCTTGAAAATGAAGCTTTATGTATTGACCTCATCAACTTTAGGGATGATGTCAAAGTTATCTTCTATTAACAATTGGGAGTAGATCTCTAAACTATAACCACGAGGGGTAGTACTTAGGAGAGGTGCTTTTTATCCACATTGTGAGATATGGGAGTGTATTTCGGTTTATAACTTGAGCGGGTTTTATTTATTTATTTGTTTTAATAATTTTTATTGAATTGGTTTATATAAGAATAAAATGATATTTCTTTATTGTAACTTGATAAGAGAAACAACAACATAATAATCAAATGTACTAAAGTACGTAATTGAAATTGTAAAAACTAACGAGGAGTAACAAAATAAATAAAGAAAACCCAATACCCAACACAATTCTATACTCAAGGTTGAAATTGAACCATAATTCTCGATTTGGAAGCATAAGTACTAACTAATTGAGTTGATGATTTTTGAATAATTTTAACTGAACACAAATAATTGTTTTAAAAATATATAAGAACTACAGTGTTTAGGGAATGGATTAGAAGGAATTTGCTGATGTTCTTAATTTGAAAGTTGGATTATTTTAAAAATATGTATAAGGATTAAGGAGTGTTTGGGAGATGGGTTGAAAGGGATTTATTAATGTCCTTACTTAATTTGAAAGTTGGATAGGAGTAATTTTGTGAATCTAATAAAAAAAAAACCTGAATTGTGAGATGATTGAGTGAACTTGACTTGTAAGTACAATATATATTAATTTAAATTATAATATTATATGTAGTTAAATTGTAAACTTAAAGTGTACAACTAAAAAAATATATTTTACTATATTTCAATATAAATAATATTAAATTAATAAATTATTATGTTTGAGATAACATTATTTATTAAACTATTTTATTAAAAGATGATTATTTTTAAATTATTAAATGCATAAATTTAGAATAGATTAAGATTATTCAAAAATAATAACCCAAATCCGTGTTTAAAATACATAGCAACTAATTATTTATCGAATTTAAACTTGTTAAAAGTCAGTTGTGCTGGTTCATTAGAATGGTGCATTACAAATAATGGTTATTTGAATTTTTAGTTTTATACTTTTTCTATATTAATTCAAAATTGATACAAATTGATTACACAATTGTGCAACCTACATTGATTAAAAAATATATTAGGTAATCCAAGTACTTTGGATATAAAATGACTTTTTATTGGTCTGTTATCGAAAAAAAAATGTCAATATTCACGTCAAAAGATGTAGTTTCTTCACTTCTTATATTGAATTTATCTAGAGGTATGTACTATTTTCTTTATGTCTGTCTTCATGCATAGACATATATGATCAAAGTTTTAATATAATTCTACATTTTTTTTATAATCAAGTGCAACAGTCCCTAAGCAAGATTGATGGAGGCTAATTTATGTGCGAAGTTTTCCCATTCAGTTATCTAGTTGTACTATAGATATATGCATATGAATTGATTAAAGGATATTTTTTCAACAAATATAATGTTGATTCCTAAGAAAAATATTCATCTTAAGGGAAATCACAGGGCTTGGAAAAGGACGACATCTATATGCTATATAATTCAATAAAATTAGTAATAATAACATTTAATGCAAAGATTCTCCAAAAATTGAAATTGACACCATACTTACATTGTTCTGTAGTTTTAAATGGTAATAGACAAGGTGTGATTTGTTTTGTATGCAGTATTTGAGTTATTCTAACTTGATATGTGATTTGTATTTTGGGTCATTGAACAAATTAGACTCTAATGGTCAGTTTTTTTCTCAATTTTATTTTTATTCTAGGCAACTGGTTAAAGGTGTCAAGAGAAATTGTTTTTATAATATTGAATGTTCTCTAGTTGATAACTTGGGTTTGTTGTCAAAAAGGCCTTTTACAAAGTGGCAAACTAGTTGAATATCAACACCTTATATTTTGTTGGCTTTTTTATAAGTACACTTTTTTTATTTTTAAAAAAAATTATAAAATATTTGTATTTTTATTTTTATTTTATACCTCTAACTTTTGATTTGCTACTTTTTTCTTCTTTTTTTACACACTTTTCTTTTTCTTTTTCAGTTTTCAAATGCACCATTTCATCTCCCTCAAATTTCTCACTTATTTTAATAAATAGTTTTAACTCTTTCGATTTTTATATTATTTTGCATGTGTGTGAAAACTAAAAGAAGAGAAAGAGGAGATAAGAGTAAGAAAACTATAAAAGAGGAGGGAAAAAAGAGTAATATAAAATTAAAAGAATTAAAATTACCTACTAAAATAGGTAGAATGAAGAAAAGGTAAGGAGATGGACGTGAAAATTGAAAAAAAAAAGAAAAGATGTGTAGAAAAAAATATTAAATTAAATATTATAAATATAAAATTAAAAATAAAAAAATTAAAGATATTTTAAATTTTAAATTTTTTTTAAAAAAAGGAAGTATACTTATAGTTAAAAAGAGGTGTATATATCATCAACCTATTTTGTTTTAAAAAGTGATCATATATGGCAAGAGATCAAATCTGAGAACTTTAACTCAGCATTATGTTAAAGATCTTTATCTATTTCTTGTACTAGAATTATTTCAATATATTTTTAAAATAGTTTAACAAAGAAAGGCACTAGACATTACGAAACAAGAAAAGTTTAGCTAATTCTACACAGAACATGGGGAATTATGCAAGAATGAAAATTCTTTTATTTATCCTGATTCCATATACCTGATTTAACAATCTCAGCAAAAAAGAATCATTCATCTTAGCGTTATATCTTTAAGTATGCGCATACACAAAAAAACAATATTATTGACAATCTACTTAATAAAAAACGATAGGGTTAAATATTGTTTCTCAAAGACAATGAGACCAAGACACGCGACTTCTAGTTTGATGTGAAATGTATTGTAAAACTAATCTAAAGCGCGCTTAATCCTTTATGCCTTATGGTTATGAACATGGTAGTCAATAATATGCAGAGGTGGGTGATTTGACTTTAATCAAGTTCTTTTCAAATTTATGGAATTTTACATTCTCATGTTATCAAACATGATACAACTTTAATGAGAAGTTGTATAGCCATAAAAATAGATCTTCATGTTTTTTGCACCCGTTTAATATTAAAGAATGCTAGTTATACTGCAGGGTTTCATTTTATATACTACGTAGTTGGAATTCTGATTACCTACTTAGTTCCTCTGAATATAATTCTAACGAATATGATTGTAAGTCATAATATCAAGTTTACTTGGTTCAAGTATGAAGTCTTGAGGTTGGCACGACTTTATATATCATAGGATTGCATATAGACGCTCTCAGTCATGGAATAAACATGTCAGCCCATACACAGTGCTGGTGAAATTAATAAACTAAATTGTCAACGTGGCATTGCATTAATGTTTATTATTAAAAATTAGATTGTACTATGTAACGAAGAGTGTTATAATAAAGTGTAAAGGCTTAAGAAGAAACAACTATGTTGATGATGTTGATTTTATTAACTAGAGAGGTAAAGTCCTTGAGAACAGGGCAAGAAAAGGTCCAGTTCCACATGGTAGAAGAGCACAAATTTAAGTATACTCAACATATGAACGATGGACTAATCTTTGAAAAGATTGAATAAAACTTTAATTTTTAAATCTAACAATATTTAAATATCTTTATTTATGATCTTTGATTTAAAAAGAATGATAAAGTTAAATTAACCATCCAAATTAACCATCCAGTTGTAAAGACAAGATTTATTTATCCAAAAGGGAAATACATTCTTGCTGAAACCAATTACCACATATATCAATAATAATGATGAATGTAAAAGTAGAAGCGGAATAACAAATTAGCAGAGTGAATCACACGAGTTTTATTTTAGGCAACCTTAAATTGGGACAGTCAGCTTGGTTGAGTGCATCCAGAGATGCACAAAATAAATCTCCATTGCACACTGTTTGCAACTGTGGTAGATTCCGCAATGTTAATGCGGTCAACTTGGGGAGTCTAATACTACCACCACCTGCAAATATCTCCTTCAATGATATACAGTTCTCTACTTGAATTGTCACCAACTTTGTAAGTGATGGCACTAACTCTGATGTCAGCAACGTCTCTATTTTATCACAATATGAGATTTTAAAATGCAGGAGATGACGGAACACCTCTGTTCGAGTCTGAGGAGTAAGCATGTGAAAAGGGGTAGTTTGGATACAAGTACATGCGGAACAAGCATTAGATAAACAAAATAATCTCTTCAGTTTTGTGCATGTTTTAATGGAAATATTTTTAAAAGATGGAGGATCCTTAGACGACAAAGCAGCACATAAGTATTTCCATTGATAATTGTGACATACAGTCAACTCCACAAGGTCTCTTGGCAGTAAATAGGGTTTTTCTGTGCAGTCTGCAAACCATAAGCTTCGAAGATTAAACTCTTGAAAAATTCCCCTTTTGTACAAGTAGTAGTTGTGCATTCCAAAATAGATATCATAAGTTTTAGGTCTATAACCGTTGTTCAAGATTTGTTGCACGTAATGATTGTAGTTATCCCGGTCCAGAAACTCTCCTCGAAAACATTCAAGCATAGTCATCTCTTTTGCGTCTTCTACTTTTATAATCGACCAACCACAGAGATCCAAAAGTTGCAGATTGGTCAAATGGGATAGTACACCTTCTGCTGCTACTGGTAATGGTATTAAACGATTCTGGGACAAGTCAAGCCATTTCAAATTTATTAGATTTTCCAAGCCTTGCGGTACTTGGTCGATGGAACAACATGAAATGACCAATGTTGACAATGCTTGTAGCTTCTCCAGTGGAGGTATATTTTTTAATTTTGGACATTTTTCAAGTACTAAAGAAATAAGAGACCTCAGGTTTGATAGTGAATTCGGTAATGATATTAATTTTGTATTATTTGATAGATCAAGAACTGTCAGAGCATTCATGCGTGTAAAAAAAGAGTCCGAAATATGAGCGATGGGATTATGAGATAAAATTAAGGTGGATAAGCGTGGACATTCAGGCGATGCACCCTCTTGGATTTCTTCTATTTTGTTCCACACCAAAGAAACTGCCTCCAAATCATCTCTCCATTCCCCCATGTCAGGTATCTTTTTCAATTTTTTATTAATTTTTACCATGTATTTCATTATATCGCATGCCATGTTCTTCACCAGATCATGCATTCTCGGACCCCACCCATCCCACAACAACAAAGAATGGTTTATGAGTTTATCTACCATGACATTCCCCTCATAAATCATTTCTTCGAAACTCCTCTTTCCATTCAACAGTCCCCTCTCAACAAGCTTTTGAACCCAATTCCCTTTATTATCATAAGGTAATAGTGCACAGTATAAGAAGCATTTTTGCAAGTCCTTGTCATTTAAATTATCATAGCTACGCTTTAGTACGGTTTTCACCTCTTCTCCCATTTCAAAATTTTCAACTTTATTCAATGCATGCTTCCACCAATGAATGTCATCTTGCTCCTTCATGCTTCTAGCCATCACACTGATTGCAACTGGTAAACCATCGCACTTTTTTACAACGGATCTTGCAACCTCTTCTACTTTAGGGGAAAGCGTTGCAGGTATTCCATGGTGTCCTAATTTTAGCAAAAATAACTTCCAATCTAAATCTTTCTCATCAATCACATCTAAAGGATACACTGTTATCATATCTTTTTGCAAACAATCCATTTGTTGGCACACATGTTTCAAACGACTTGTGATAATCAATTTAATGCCATTCATTTTAAGAGGAATTCCCACCTTCTCTAGATCAATATATTTCCAAACATCATCCAAAATAAGTACTGATTTTTCTATTTTCTCCAACTCAGATGCCAAAATTGTTGCTCTACTTCTCTCATCATCTCTGTAAAGCTTTAACCCCATTGTTTCTGCAATGCGGTGTTGCAATTTGAAAATGGTGAAATCATGGGAAACAGTGACCCAGAAGACATGCTTGAAACTTTTCTTTCTTTTGATCTCATTCTCCATATAAGTTGCTAGGAATGTTTTCCCCACTCCCCCCATTCCGTGTATGCCAATAATCAAAACTTCATCATCCCCCAGAAGCTTCCATATCTTGTCAACATTTTCCTCAAAATCCTCGCCAACAAATTCATTTGACACCACTAGAGGCTTCTTTCTCATATGACATGCCTTTTCTATAATCAAATCCTGTATTTCCATCGATCCTAACTGCTGCATGCTATGATCAGCTCTTGTTTTGAGGTCCTGTAGTTTATTTAACCAATGGTCAACTTGACTCTTTGGCTTCTTGCCCCGTGACTCCAACCATTGTAATTGACCCTTAATGTCTTCTTCCTCTCTTGTTAGATCGCATACCAACTCATTTAACTGTTCGAGAACATGGCTGCTTCCACTCACTCCACGCTCACCTGCTACAAAACCTCTATGCGTTGTTTTTGTCATTGCTTCATTAAAAATTATATATACTCAAATCTCATCAATTTACTTTTTCATATCAGGCTAACCGTAGTAACAAATATAATAAAAATGTACTTTGTTTAAAATTCATAGTAATGAATTGGTGATCAGATCGAATAAGTACCTTCGGGTAAAGTTATTGATTGTGCATTATTTCCGTAGTTAATTAAACCATCAAAATTCATTGTGTGGGTCCATTGAGTCGCTTCAATGCAACATGAGATAAATAAATTATAGTCATCATTTTTAAACTTCAACAAAAATCAAGGAAAAAAATTTGTAAAATAAAATAATAATTGTAATAATAATACCAATAACTTTATTGACTGCAGACCTCAAGATGAAAAAATACATACAATATTATCTACTTTAATATATTATTATTAGTTACAATTTATTAAAAATAACAAAATTATAAGTGAGATGACTAAATACATGCAAAGTGAGATTCACAATATATGGTTTCAAATATAAGTAAAAAAATGTGTTAAAAAATGCGTAAAAATGTATGTCAGTAAATATTTCTCAAAGTAATGATTGGAAAAAGTTTCATATGAAATTGAAAGTTCTTCTCTGACGCAGACCCACACTCATAATGAAATTTATGACTGAAAAATAAAAAAATAGGTTGTATCGCCTAAATACAAAAAGCACAAGTGTGAAGAGAAAGAAAAGAACACTGTAAGTAGGAATAGGATGCAAACCTCCGAGTAAATATGTTGATTCTACATTTATTTGATAGTTACCAAAAGTGTCAATCATTTGCTGATCACCTTCCGCCACTTCATTGCAACATGGGATACATTAAAAAAAATTTCATCATTTTTAAACTTCAACGAGGAAAAATTAAAGCAAAATATAGGAATAACATACTATCCCAAAGATGAAAATTAACAAATCTAGAAATCAAGCAAATATTTGTTCATCAATAGTAGAGAACATACAATATTTGCACATACACACATGAATTATTATTATACTAGTGAATTGAGATATTTCATGTTTTTATATTTTATTTAATAAAAATATTTAAAAATTATTAATATTTAATAGATTAATTGACATTATCTTTGATTTTCAAACTTTAAAATTTTGAGTTTGAATCTTAATTATCTTTATAAGAATGATTAATTTTTAATATTATATTTTATTATTTAAAAATTTAAGAATAAAATTGTTTTAAAAATGTGTATATCAAATGGGACAATCTCTTTTATTATATATTATAGATAACCAGTTGTGACCAAAATATTATATGTTTATCCTCGTATTTTATTAAAACTTTTCATTTATCACCACCTTTAATATTTCACTATTTGTTTAACCAATGGTGATAATTTATATGCTAAATATTTATTATATATAAGTATATTTTATAATAAATTATATATTTAAATCTATTTTTTGTTCTTGTGAAATGGATGAGTTTTAATTTTAGTCCATGTAAAAAAGATTCTTTATCTTTCATCTTTTTAAAATTTTTAAACATTAATTTTGGTCTTTGTAAAATATTTTTGAGCCTTGTAAAATAAGTAAATTTTGCTTTTAATCTCTGTAAAATATTTTTATTTGATTTTCTTTCTTCTAAAATCTAAAATCATAATCTTTGATCCCTATCATTGATTTTAAGGTAAATAAAAATATTAATTTTAAGGACATATACAAATTTTAGAGATAGTCACATAACTTTTTAATAAATAAATAAGTAGTTAAAAATGAATATATAATAATTGGGACTAAAAACAATAATGCTAAATTTTAGAGGATGAAAAATAAAGAAGATTTTTTTATAGGAACCAAAATAAAAACCTACTTATTTTGCAGTGACTAAAAACATATTTGAGTCTAAATAAATAAATAAATATATATATATATATATATATATAATCACTATTTTGAATATAGAAATTATATTTAAAATTTGTGTAAGTGGTCATTTTTAAACATATAAATTATATTTTTATTTAAAATACATAATTTATATTATGACAAAAAGATTATATTTAATTATTAATAACTTTTTTTAAATATTCTATTTTAATTTATAAAAAAATTAAATTAGATAAAAGAATTCTTAGAAGCGCTCCATCGAAAAATAGTCCATAAAAATCCTTTCATTCAATATAGTCATTCTCGTTTAATGTATAAGATTTAATAAATAAATAAATATGATAAATAAAATTTGAATAAGATAAGAAATAAAAAAAATTTCTTGAAATATTTTCGTCAATTAATAGTATCTAAAAACGCTCTTATGCAAGATTATCATTTGTATTTAATATATAGGGATTGATTATTACAATATTTATTTTAATTTTTAATAAATATTTGATCTTTAAACAAAAATTATAAGTTCAAAATTAACTAAAAACACTCAAAAAAATAATTCCTCAAATGTACTTTCTTTTTATTTTGAAGTATTTTCTTGTTAAAGGAAAAAAATTGAAACCAAAAAGAAAGATTTTTCTAAAGATGATCAACCAAGTTTCAATAGAGTGATGCCATGTTGGTTCGAGTAGTATTGAATTCAATCTCCTTTAACAAAGTTCTGAGTTCAAGTTTTATATATGAAAAAAACATGATTGAGATGAGACACCTTATTAAAGATGGCTACCCAAATTCCCTTAGGAGAATTAATCATTGACTTGACTAATAAATATCTCATATTAATAATATATTAAAAAAATTAATTATCAACAAAATTAATAAACATTTTATACTTATAAGAAAACTATTTTTAATTCAAGAATCTAAATAAAAAGGCTTTTAACAAAAAAAGTTGACTTTTCAACTTTTAATTAACTAACTACTTTTTATCAAATATAATCATAATATATCACCAAGTTTATACTAATAACTAGTGTTTTAATTTATGCATGTATATTCAAAATTTATATAACTAAATATTTTAAAAGTATATTATTAACTAAATTATTGAAATAAAATTTTTTATTTAAATAATTTTAAAGACAAATATTTGAATAATAAAACCTAAATAATAATGTTGTATTATAATTTTAAAAATATTATATAATTTTTTGAAAAGTAATTACATTTATAAAAAAAAATAATTTTTGTATAATATTGTTAATAATAATTAAGTTATTATCTCAAATACTAGTTTCTGTTGTTAGTAATATTATATTAATATGTGGTACCTTTAAAAAAATTATAAGTTCTTAAAAAGTGTTATTTATATATCTTAAAATTATCATTAGAGACTAAAAATATTGATTTTAAATTTTAAAGAGATGAAGATTAAAGAAAAATATTTTTCAGGAATTAAAATTAAAATTTACTCATTTAATGAAAACCAAAAATAATATTTATAAAATTTTAGAGAGATAAAAAATAAGAAATACTAGGATGAAAATTAAAACTCACTCATTTTATTAGGACTAAAATCATATTTTTTAAAAAATTACTTTAGAAATTTTAATTTTTCGAAATAATAAAACTGATATAGGTGAATTAAAATAAAACTCGGTTGTATCAATAACAAAAGACATATGTATGAAGAAAAAAAAGGAAACAACACAATAAAGAGGTAACTAGGATGAGTACCTCCGAAAATATTAATTTGATGGGGAATTGAATCACCAACAGGGTCCAACATTTCGCGAAAACCTTCATTTACTTCAACAAATAAGAGATAGATAAAACAAAAAAAAATTGAGTCATATTTTAAAATTTCAACAAAAATGAAGAAAATAATATGTAAAATAGTAACCATATGATGCCTTAAAGATAGTAACATGATCTATCTATCTATTTATAATATAAATATTAAGTTATACTATAATACGTTGACATATTGCTTTAAAATGAATGTTATGCGCTATCATGTAAGCGAAAAAGCTTGTGTCTCATCTTCCTTATCTTTCTCCTCAACTAAAAGCCACAAAACCTAAAAGTCTTACTCTCCACAATGTCACTCCTCGTCTTCCTCCCCCTCCTCTCTCTCTCTCTCTCTCTCTCTCTCTCTCTCTCTCTCTCTCTCTCTCTCTCTCTCTCTCTCTCTCTCTCTCTTCGTGTTTGATCCACAATGCCTCTCTCTACATCCTCCTCCCTTTTCTCTCTCTCTCTCTCTTTATCGTTTAACAATTTCTCACTCTCCACAATGATTTCCTTCACCAATACTTTCTTCTGAGGGGTCGCAACACCTCCATCATGCTCTCCTCCACTACCTTCACCTCCACTAACATCAACCTTTTCCTCTCAAGCTTGCCTATCCCAACACTGTCTCTTGCACCAACATCCTTTTCGTTGTCATCCATGATCTCCTCACCACATTGAAATCATATTTGTAGCAACCAGAATTGTATCTATATCAAAAAGAGGTAATGTTTAACTTTTATTATGATTTCTCTAACCTGTGACTAGAAGAAACAATTTTCACACAGCTTGAACGTATCACTGTATTAAATGTATGAAATTTCATTTTGTAATCTTAAGAATTTCATTCTTTATCACTAATTTGTTACATTTTTACCATGTTTGTAGATAGTATAGTAATTGATTCCTATTTTTACTTATTTTGCAGTGACTAAGAACATATTTGAGTCTAAATTATATACATAAATAATCACTATTTTGAATATAGAAATTATATTTAAAATTGGTGTAAGTAGACATTTTTAAACATATAAATTATATATATTTTATTTAAAATACATAATTTATATTATGACAGAAGATTATATTTAATTATTAATAATTTTATTTTTAAAATATTAAAATTTAAATTTTAAATAAAAAATTAAATTTGATAAAATAATTAAAATAATTCTTAGAAACACTGCATCAAAAAATAGTCTATAAAAACCCTCTCATTCAATATAGTCATTCTCATTTAATGTATATGATTTAATTAATAAATAAATATGATAAATAAAAGAATTTCTAAAAACATTCTCGCCAATTAATAGTCTCTGAAAACGTTATCATTCAAGATTGTTATTTGGATTTAATATATAGGGATTGATTATTACACTATTTTATTTTAATTTTCAATAAAATATTTGATCTTTAAATAAAAATTATAAGTTTAAAATTAACTAAAAACACTCAAAAACATATTTTCTTAAATATACTTTCTTTTTATTTTTAAGTATTTTCTTGCGAAAGGAAAAAAAATTAAAATTGAAAAGAGAGATTTTACTAAAGATGATCAACCAAGTTTCAAAGAGTGGTTCCATGTTGGTTCGAGTAGTATTGAATTCGATTCTCTTAAACAAAGTTTTGAATTTGAATTTTATATATAAAGAAAACATAACTGAAATAAGATAACTTATTAAACGTGGCTAGCCAAATTCCATGACAAGAATTAGCCATTAACTTCATCGATAAATATTTATATAAATAATATGATTAAAAAAATTAATTAATAAAATTAATAAATATTTTATACTTATACGAAAACTATTTTTAATTCAAAAAATTAAGTGAAAAGGCTTTTAACAAAAAGTTGACTTTTCAACTTTTAGTTAACTAACTATTTTTTTTAATCAAATATAATCATAACATGTCACCAAGTTTATATTAATAACTAGTATTTTAATTTATGATGCATGTATTTTCAAAATTGATATAAATGGATATTTTAAAAAATATAAATTATATTTTAAATTTATAATAAATCATTTATATTGTAATAAAAGATATTTTATTTAATGATAATTTATTTTAAAATATTAATATTTAATTTATAAATAATTATGATAAATAAAAGACGATAAAATAATTATAATAAAGCTTATTGTAAGGAAAAAAAGTTAGGCATCTCGATTCCATCCCATCCCCTCTGACGTGGATTTGGCAGACCTAACTCAGACATAACAACATATTTGGTTTGGTAGTGAAACTGTTCCGGCCAAAGGGTAGACTAGGATTTTTTCCTAGATCGTGCCTTAGAGCCAGAGCATTCAAAAGTGTAATCTGCCTGCTCAACTTTAGGGTTTTGGGTTTTATGGTACATCGTTCATGGGCTTCTTGGGCCCCGAGAATCAAGGGATTTCCCTAACCGTTCTTATCATGATGGTGCGTGTTAATGGGAACGAGCTTGGTCGGATTCCGACCGACTGGACCCGTACCGAGGGTCCAGTAAGGTAATCGCCAAGTGGTTCCCTTGTAGGCGAGAGGAATCGAGCTTAGCAGGTCGAGTCGGGCTATGACCGATTAGGTCTGTACTGAAACTTAGACGAGAGGTAACTTAGTCGGATATCGACCGAGTAGAGATCAGTCGGATTTTTACCTAGACGGTACACTAGTCAGATTTTTACCTAGACGGTACACTAGTCGGGTTTTTACCTAGACGGTACACTTGTCGGGTTTTTACCTAGACGGTACACTTGCCTTCCAGCCCTGAGCCTATAAGGCGAGAGGGCTTGTGGCCTGGTAACTTAGTCGGATATCGACCGAGTAGAGATCAGTCGGATTTTTAAATAGACGGTACACTTGCCTTCCAGCCCTGAGCCTATAAGGCGAGAGGGCTTGTGGCCTGGTAACTTAGTCGGATATCGACCGAGTAGAGGTCAGTCAAATTTTTACCTAGACGGTACACTCGGCCAAATTCCGATTGCTATAACAAGTGAAAATAATTCTCGAAACGAAATTCATGGACCAAGTTGGTAAAAGTCCGTCTGATTTGATAATAAGAAAATATTCTAAGTTAAAAGGTTGAATCTTAATGGGACCAGTCGTCCAAATACCGACTGGAAAAATGGAAATTTTTTGTTAAGTTAAAAGTTGAAAATCAATGGGACCAGTCGTCCAAATACTGACTGGAAATTTCCAAAATTTTGCTATATAAAGGTTGATCCTTAATGTAACTAATCGTCCTGCTACCGACTTGAACAAAACAACAAATTTTTCTAAGTTAAAGTAATCGCCCTAATGCCGAGTAAGAAAAATAATAATTTATTCTAAGTTTGTAAGGATATGTGAATCTCGTCTCGCCTAAATTCCGAGAAAGAGAAATTAAATTACTCTAATGTTTAAAACGACAGCCCAATTGTCGAGTAAGAGGAAATTAAATTATTGAAAGTTCGAAATGATATGCGAATCAGGTCTCGTCTAAATTTCGCATAAGAGGAAGAATATAATCATTCTAAGTTCAAATTTGAACCTTTTTAACCATAAAAAATCAGCCAAATTCCGATTTCCATCTCCCAGAAAACAAAAGTTTCTAAGTTTAAATTCGAGCCTTTTTAATCATAATGGATCGGCCAAATGATTACCATCTTCAGTGAATCAAAAAGATTATAAGTTCCAATTTGAAGGTTTTTTAATCATAATGGATCGGCCAAATTCCGATTACATCTCAAGGAAATCAAAATAAGTTTAAATGAAAAACTTGGCCGGGTGGTCGGCCAAATGTCGACTTTAAATAATGAACGAAAAATTCCCAAGTGTAGATGAAACTCAACCAAGTGATCGGACAAATGCTGACCGAACATAATTAATGTGGAAAATTTCGTTTAGAATCATATTTTTTGACCATATGAATCGCCGGAATTCCGATTCAGACATAGAGTTGAAGAATGGAACTTTGGTTTGAGTTAATCATCCAAATGCCGAATCACATAATGAACTAAACATTCAAATATGGGAATCCTCCATACCCCGACTTGTTTGTCCTGGATCACCAAAATCCGATTAGCATTCAAATAGATGAATAAAATTTATCAAATTAGCATTGAACCGCAATTCTATGAATGGGTCGTCCAAAATTCGATTTGCTGTCTTGAATCATTAAAATTCCGATTAACAACGGTGAATAAAATGTATCAAGTTAAAAATCAATTTAAATCATACATTTTGTCTTCGAGTTGTTTATATTCGCCCAGTCGGATTTGTGTCGACAATCATGAGTTTTAGTCTTCGAATTATTTATACTCACCCAGTCGGACTTTTGCCGACAATCACGAGTTTGATCTTCGAATTATTTATACTCGTCCAGTCAGACTTTTGCCGACAATCACGAGTTTGGTCTTCGAGTTATTTATACTCGCCCAGCCGGACTTTTGCCGAAATCACGAGTTTGGTCTTCGAGTTATTTATACTCGCCCAGCCGGACTTTTGCCGACAATCACGAGTTTGGTCTTCGAGTTATTTATACTCGCCCAGTCGGATTTTTGCCGACAATCACGAGTTTGGTCTTCGAGTTATTTATACTCGCCCAGCCGGACTTTTGCCGACAATCACGAGTTTGGTCTTCGAGTTATTTATACTCGCCTAGCTGGACTTTTGCCGACAATCACGAGTTTGGTCTTTGAGTTATTTATACTCGCCCAACCAGACTTTTGCCGACAATCACGAGTTATTTATACTCGCCCAGTCGGATTTTTGCCGACAATCACGAGTTTGGTCTTCGAGTTATTTATACTCGCCCAGCCGGACTTTTACCGACAATCACGAGTTTGCTCTTTAAATAACACACCTGTCGATCATGAAAAGATAAAAGAGATGGTATTTAATAAAATTGGAATTATTGGTTAGTGGTGCCTCGTTAAAAACCTTCTCAGTAAAAAACCTTTTCACATTTTTATATGGAATAAAAATCTCTTGGGACGACCCCAGCTTCTCGGCTTTCAGCTACCCTTTTAATAATCTGATTCTCCTCCGTCTTGATGTGGCTCAAGGCGAAAGCCCTCACCTCCGACATCGTTTGACAGTTCGCTCTTTCGAGCGCAATGTCGAAGGCTCCAGACCTCAAACCTTTTTGAAATGCGATGACCGCCATCCTCTCGTCCAACGACGCTATCCTCAAGGCGACCTCGTTGAACCTCTGTAGGAAATCTTTCAGAGACTCCTCGCACTGTTGTTTGAGGTCAAACAAATCTGACGTGATCGACAGCTTCTTTTTGTTAGCGGCGAACTGCGCCATGAAGAGCCGGCTAAAGATATTAAAGTCGGTGATTGACCGATCCGGTAGACCGCTGAACCAGTCGAGCGCCGCCTTCTTGAGTGTGCCCATGAACAACTTGTAGTGGACTTCCATGCTCCCTCCACAAATCAACATTTGAGCCCGAAAGTCCGTCAAATGCTGACTGGGGTCTTGCGTTCCATCAAAAGGTTCGACCTGTGGTATCCGATGATCCCTAGGGATCATCTCGGCCTCTATGGCTTCCGAGAATGGTCGAAAGTCTCTAGGGACCTCCAGCATGACGTCCTCCTCCATAGTCCTGGCACTGGCCGTTATTCTGGCTTGCAGCTCGTCCGCTCTCCTCCTGATTTCTTCGTTCTCGTGCTGAATGGCCTCCTCTCTCTCCCTGGACCGTGCGTTGTCCTCCCTTAAGCCATTGATCATGGCCATCATCTCCTCCTTGGTAGGGGGTTGTGAGTTGTTGTTGTTGTTGTTGTTGTTGCCGCCTCTCGCCATGGTAAAGTGTAGGTCTTTCTGTATGACTTGGGGCGTAGGAAGAGTTTCACCGTAGCCCCACGGTGGGCGCCAAAATGTTCCGGCCAAAGGGTGGATTAGGGTTTTTTCCTAGATCGTGCCTTAGAGCCAGAGCATTCAAAAGTGTAATCTGCCTGCTCAACTTTAGGGTTTTGGGTTTTATGGTACATCGTTCATGGGCTTCTTGGGCCCCGAGAATCAAGGGATTTCCCTAACCGTTCTTATCATGATGGTGCGTGTTAATGGGAACGAGCTTGGTCGGATTCCGACCGACTGGACCCGTACCGAGGGTCCAGTAAGGTAATCGCCAAGTGGTTCCCTTGTAGGCGAGAGGAATCGAGCTTAGCAGGTCAAGTCGGGCTATGACCGATTAGGTCTGTACTGAAACTTAGACGAGAGGTAACTTAGTCGGATATCGACCGAGTAGAGATCAGTCGAATTTTTACCTAGACGATACACTAGTCAGATTTTTACCTAGACGGTACACTAGTCGGGTTTTTACCTAGACGGTACACTTGTCGGGTTTTTACCTAGACGGTACAAAAACCATAGTGGATTATGATAACTCAAACATGTTTTAACTAAATATTAGTATGTTTGGTTACCAAAATAGAATTAGGTTCAACTAGGAAAAACTATAAGAGTATGGAGCTGCTTTTGCTTCATTTAAAATTAATTTTGAATTTTTAGTTGTTGTATTTTTTTCTTATTGACTTTAAAAAATATGTACTTTAAAGAATGTCTCCAACTCCAAGCATAAAAAGAACATGTAGTACCATGGAAACACAGTGTCTTCAGTTTATAATTATACACATGAGAATAATATGGAAAAGAAGAAACTTACAGTCTTCATGCAGGTAAGCTATTCCACGAGCTGCACCAGCAGCAACCTTGACTCTAGTAGACCAATCCAGAACTGGTCTATTTTCACCTGCGAAATTTTAAATTTACTGGTCAAGTTTTAGATCAAGGTTTAGGTAAACAATAAAGTCCTTAAACCTAAAACATGGGTTTATAACAGCACGAATTGTATATTCAAGTGCAACGATGGTGATGATAATCAATTCATGGAAAAACAATAAATTCTGTATTTCTTTTCTACTACCATAGTGCATACTGATAAATCCATCATTTTTTAATATTCTTTAATTTCACTAAAATATTAAAATAACATAAAAAGAAGTGTTCAAATCATTCATCAACAAGCCAATAAATGAACTTTAAATGATACTTCCAAGGCTGGCCCAACATATTGTTAAGGCCTAAAACAAATCTTAAAATAAGACTTTTTTAAAATTAATAATAATATCTTTTGATAAAAAAAACGTTTTAGATATGAGTCTTGAAAAAAAAACAATTATATTTGCATATATCGTTTAAAGATGACCTTTTAGAGTGAACTTTTAAAAATATAAAAAGTGATTTTTGAGTTATAGGAAAAAATTATATAAATATTAATAAATAAAAAAATTTAAGAGGATCTAAAGCAAGGGCTTCACTGGCCTTATTGCTTGGGCCCGCCCTCATACTTCTTTCATGGTTTATCAAAAGAATATATCAAACAAATCAACTGTATAAAGCATGGAAACACCATTTTGGTGCCATGTACATGTCGGGCACGTGTTTGAGTCAACCTTTGTATGACAACACACTAACTACATGTATCCAACACAAGCATGGATGTGTCCATTATTTTTTTCTTTTTTTTTTGGCTCTAGCATGGTGTGATACAGCATACACATGACATGGACATTTAAAAGAAAATAAACATAAGTCTGTTTTAAACTTTTAAGAAATATTCAAAAATAAAAATTAAATATAAGGCACAGGTGCTGATATCAATCTAGTAAATTATTGACTAAACACGTTATTTGTACATGGCTAGATCTACATGGACGGGTTCATTTAGGGAATATTTTAAAAAATGTCAACAGAAATGATGCTCCAAGTTTTCAGGTAGGGGCTTACAAAATAGCTAATATTTGTACGTAAGACATATATCAAGATGTTGTAAATGTTGAAGCTAATATATAATATTATGATTAAGAACCTTTTTTTCTTCAATTTTGAATTATGTGTATGTGATGTCTATGTCCTACAACTTTTAGAAACAACTCTAATTTCTTCACACCTAAATTTCTACGCACCTCTCGAAAAATGGGTGTCAAAAACTCATTCTCCTTTTAGAAATTGGCACGTCCCTCTGTCATTGTTAGTGTTTCACAGCTTTTGGTGTTGTAAATTTGTGATGAAGTAACTATTTATGTTTATTAAAGTTATTTAATCAGAGATATGTATCTTACCATGGAGATGGTAATGAAGAGTATTGTTGGGAACATAGTCATATACAAGCAATCTCTGATGCTCAGATATACAGTAACCAACCAACGAAACTAGATGACGATGGTGTACACGGCTAATAATCTCCACTTCTGCCCTGAATTCACGTTCCCCTTGTCCACCACCAACTTTGAGCTGTTTCACAGCAACTTCTCTTCCATCTATGAGCAAACCTTTATAGACACAACCAAATCCACCTTCTCCCAACAAATTTTGTGCTGAAAACCCATCTGTAGCTTGGATAAGTTCTTCATATGTGAACCATGATCTTGAACTACTTACACCACCCGGCTCTGACGGCGAATACACAAAATCACTACCAGATCCGCTACCTACAAAGTTGGCAGGAGACTGTGGCCTCAAGAATAAGGTACCTAAAAGAGAATACCAATGTTTAAAATAATTATTCTAGTATCCATTAACACAAAAAATTGTAGCTGAATTAATAGTTACCATAAACAAATGCCAATTGTGTAGTGCCATACCATTTTAACATAATGCAACCAACATTCCAAAAATTTTTTTCAAACTGGAGTCTAACAAAGTAACAAGAATTATCCAGCTTAATTATCTTACTCAGCTAAAATTTGTCACAAATAATGTAGAAACCGAAGTTGCCACCATGAGCACAAAATAGATTTTTTGGTGAGGTGTTACAAGGGCAGCGTGGGGGTTTAAACCTATAAAACACAAATCTGGCATCACTAACCCAATTCTAGTGCCTCGCAACCAAGTTTAGGGTTCAACAAAGGAATATTATTAATGAGAAATAAAGAGATTGGCAACCACATTGATTTGATTTAAACTGACAACAAAGCAAAAATGGAACAGGATAACAAAATGCAAGATAAAAATGACTGTTATACCAGTTCTAGGCTGTGTAGTTCAAGGTTAACAACAAACAAAATGCAAGAACCAACAAGATTGTATATTCCAAGGTATAGCATACCTGAATTATGGGATGAGGTAAATGGAGAAGGAGCAGCATAACCACCTCTAGATCCTTTATCCTATATATATATATATATATATATATATATATATATATGCATGCTCTTTCCTGCGTGGTATTGTTATTGTTGTGAGCTATGTGACAGCCAGGTGGGTCGTTACACATACGTAGCCTCTTCACCAAGGAGTGGCGTACACAGGCTGCAACAGCTTCGATCATCCAAAACATTTCATTTCTATCATAGTTCTTTCCCAGTCTTGGATCCACCAAAACTTCTAAATCTTCATTGTCAAGTGCTATCTCGATAATAAAAGATGTTTGATGACTTGATATCTCGATGAATAATGCGTGGATGGCCTGATAAAATAATTAAAACGAAATAAGAAGATAAACAGTGTAATATGCTATAAAATCCAAAAATGATAGTGTAAAAACATAAGTAATTGTGAATGTAGAATCAACAATAATGCAACCATGTCTGATGTTAGCATCTTTATTGTGGTTGCAAAATTTCTAAAGAACTTGGTGCACTTAGTTTAAAGAAAAATATGTACTTAAAAGAATGTCTCCAACTCCAAACATAAAAAGAACATGTAGTACTATGGATATACAGTGTCTTCAGTTTATAATTATACACATGAGAATAATATGGAAAAGAAGAAACTTACAGTCTTCATGCAGGTAAGCTATTCCACGAGCTGCACCCATGTTATTAGAAGTGATAGTATTTTTGTGTTTTATATTAAGTTATCTAAATTTTGAATAAGTTATATTAGAAAGAGAATAGTTATTTTATCAAGATAGAAATTATTAACTAATTTAATGTATTTAAGAAGTTTGAATAGATTATATTATGAGATTATCTATAAAAAAAAATTATATATAAGATCAAATCTAAGTATATGATTGAACTTATATTCAATTAATTATTTAAATTACATTTTGTAAATTTTATCATCTTAATTTTATCGCGTAACTATAACTCTTTATATTCAAAGGATATTTTTGTCGTATTTTTCAAATAAAGTTTACTCTTCCACTTAAACAATGAAAGTTAAGTAAAGGAAAAAGATGATTTTCAATTAAAGGATATTCAACATTTAAATAGGATAAAACAAAATGCAAATCTGTATCTAGAGAAACTTAAGAAGCGTAGAAAAAGTAAAAGTCATCATTTCAATTCATATCTAAAAAAATGTTAAGTACATATTACTCACCTTGTAATGGATTTAATGCTCCTCCTTGTGGAGCCGTTGAAGAGGAAGCAATGATGTTTTGCGTTCCTCCGTTGCCACAATAAACCGAGCATATAGAAATGCCTTTCCCTGGTGTTTTCTCTAAATGTGCTTTAATTCTTGAAAAACCTCCTCTAAATTCACGATTACAATGCTTACACTTCCACCTCTTGTTTTCTTCAATAATGATGACTTCATTCGTGTATTTTGAATCACCTTTCGGCCGACCCATGATTTATTTCCTAAACACACAATTAATTTAAATATTTATGCATCATATGGTCCTATTATATGATATAGGAAGAACTTGTATCTGTGTTTGACTTAATAATCGTATAATGAGTCTATTTGTTAAACTTTATAAAAATTAAAATAAAAAAATCTTTAAAAAGTAGAAAGAATTATTTATTAAAAATATAAGCAAGTAACTATTTACAGCACCATTAACTCTGATTTCCAATCTACCGTGTTTCCAACTAATATCAAAAACAAAAAATTGATAAATAAAGTAAAATAAAATAAAAAAAAGCTAATGAAAATCTAAAGTATGATCATAAACCACTACAAAACCAAAGAAAAAAAATTGGGATTACCAAATAATGTCCTCCCAGCAGCTGGTGGTTGTGATTGCTGATTAATGCTGCAACTCTGTTTGAATATCTAAAAAAAAAATTTCAAAATTGTTGGAGAGATATGAGAAATAAAGAGGAAATTAGTAGATAGATCTGGTCTCCAAAACTTGCTAGCGAGATCAGAACCTCACCTCAATCAAAACTTGGGAATAGGTATTCTATTCAGAATAAAGAATCATAGGGTTAAATATTGTTGCTTAGAGACAATAAGACCGATGCATATTTTTCGTGAAGATTAGTTCCTTCTAAGAATTTAGCAAATTCCTTAACATTGCAGCTTTCTAGAGCTGAAAATTATCTCAAAACTTGAGGTTCAAAATTTCAAGTAACGAAGGATTCGTTTTTTTTTTAATTTTTATATTTTTATCATTAAAATTACAATTACAACAATAGAACTCAAACTTAAAAATCCAGAGAAAGAATATCATAAAAGTAAGACAGCAAGCTTCAAAAGTTGATTTCCTACAAAATGCAGATCTTTCCTTACAGTTTGCGGGAGGATAAGACCACTAAAACTTAATGTTTGCAAACTAATTATTTCATAAATTACATAGTTTTTAAGTTAAGTTCCTTCGTAAGTTTATTATTAATGCAAATGGATATTTATTAGTATTAATGAATTGAAAACTACTCGTTCCTGCAAATGGCTACGGGGCAAGGTAGTCCTGCAAATGAATACTCGTTCCTTCTCCCGTTTCACATTTCTATGGATTTTTATTATTAATATTTAATGCACTCATGAGTTTAATGAATACTAATTTTTTGATGTAGTTAATGAAATCTATTTAAAGTGAATCAGAAAACAATAATGAAAAAAAGTGTATTTCTATGGAGTGCATCAGATTAAATTTCATATAAACAATTAAAAGTGTCTGAGTAACTATTTACTTTGATTTTTCAGCTACTTTATGAAATGAAAAAATGGATAAATAAAAATAAGTGAAAGAAAATCTCATCTCAGGTATGACAAGCAATTTTCATTACAAAATAAAAGAAGAAAAAAAGGAATTACCGAATGATGGCGATGGAGGTGTGGAGCAACTGTGTTTGAATATTAAAAAATTGAAGAGTGGATTCAGAAATAAAGAGGAAAGAAGAGAGATTTGAGGAGAACCTGAAGTTGAGGAATAGCAATTCAATTCACTCTGTTATATTGGCTGTTCCAGAGAGAGATACAATTTCCTGGAAAGTGCAATACACATTCATAAAGTAAAGTAAATTGAAGGAAGCATTGAATTCCAAAAAATAGAATTTAAGACTTGACTCTACTAAAAAATGATTGTACAAGTTTAAAAAAGCTTGCAAAAAAATAATAATATCTGGAAATAGAATACAATTTTAAAGATTGTATTTAAGATTTATACTACAAGCAAGTTAACCCTCCCCGCTTAATGGAATTGGAGAGTTGATAATAATAACGTGTGAAGTAAGGTGTTGACCGTACTACGTTGCAGATAGAAAAATGCCATAAAGAAAGGTACCCTACAC